TCTCTCTCTCTCTCTCTCTCTCTCTCTCTCTCAAAGTTAAACAAAAACAATAATAAAGTGTACTCTATTGTTGTTGTTGTTGTTGTTGTTGTTGTTGATCTAGCAACAGCTGGGCTCTCGACTTTCTGTCCTATATCATGTAGTGATGAGTGCAGGTTTGTTGCAGTTGCTGTAATGTTCCATAAAGTGCGTTATCAATGTTAGGTCTCGGACGGACAAGCGTAGCTCTGATGTCATTCAGGGATGTGCTCTGGAAAAAAGGTGATGATCCACAGTCTCATATATGCATAGTCACACAAATGACACATTGAGGGAAGTTCTGGTTTTATTCTGTTCAAAAGGAAGTTGAGCTGTAAAATTGTGTTCTGTTCTTAATCGGAAGATTGTGGTCTGTTTCTTTCTCTGTAGGTGGTTGATATTGTCATTTTTGTTTGTTGCGATGATATGTTAGAAAAACTGCCTTGCCTGTCTTTCTCAAGGCTCATTAATTGTTCATCCAATCTTATTTGTCGTTATTTTGAATGATTTTTTTTCAGTGTTGTTTGAGGTTGAAGTGTTGGGCTGTTACTGTCTAAATCCCTGTTTGGTGTGGGTCAGCTTTGTCATTTCCAGGTATGTTTTAGTGTCCAGGAATCCACTGCATCCTCAGGATGACGCCTCAGGATGTCACCAGGTGATGGGAGCCAAACAATATGATATGAGTCAAGTCTTGGTTTAGATGATGGTCATTTTCTATCGCTTGCAAAACTGGAAGAGAGTCAGTTAAAATCACAATACATGTACTCTGTATTTTGTTTGGATGAATGTAAAAAACTATGCGGAGATGGTATAGTGCTGTTTCAATTGCCATCATTTCTGCTTCGTAGTTGTTGCATTTCTCTCCACAGACGGCAGAGATCTCATTGGAGCTTCCATCTGGGTATTGTATTAATATTTCACATCCGGCTTTGGTTGTGCCTCTGAATGCTGAACCGTCTGTAAAGACGTGTATCCAGTCATCTGAATAGCTGTCGATTGTTTGATGTGATGCAGGTGTCAGCGTCATGGTTGGTTTTTCCAAAGAAATGTGGGGAGGGATATTTTGGGTGACTCTTTTGGTTTATTTTCTGTTTTGTGGTAAATGGTGACTCTCCATTAGTTCTGTAATGTGATCCATGATTGATTTTGTTGAAGTCTATGTTTGGTTTCCATGTTTCTACTATTTTCCTGTTTGGGTGGTTGGGGCATATTCTTTTGATTCTTTCCTGGAGCTCCGAAACTGCTTTATATATCTGCGAATTCCAAGGGGTTCAACATTTGAAAGGATTTCACATTCGGCAGTAGGTGTGGTTCTCATGCCACCGTTTATGAAACGAAGGTCATCATTATTTTGGACCTTGTCAAGGGTGTTGCAAGTAGTCGTACTTCACATTGTGAGTAGGCTGTTGCTGTATTCCAGGGAAGATCGGACATAACCAAGGTATAGAGCTCTCAGAGTTCGTTTGTCTTATCCCCATGAACTGCTTGCGAGTTTCTTTAAAAGTTGGAATCTTCTTTTCGCCTTGTTCTTTATGCTCTCCTCTTGGCTTTTCAAGGTCAGACTTTGGTCAAGTTTGACTCCTAGATACGTTGGTGGTTTTTCTCTGGGGAAATTTTCATTTCGTATCTTCAGTTGGAGTATTACTTTAGCTGTTGAATGGCTCTTTGTGAAGATGGTGTATCCTGTTTTCGTGCAGTTCATTTAAGATTCATGTACCAAAAATCGGTGAAATTTACTGTCAACTTTAGAAATTTAAAAAAGCCTTACGTGTGATAAACATAGATTTATTTAGTTGAAATTGAGAACATTTTGCACACACAGTAACACTGGCGAAAAATCGCATTTGCGGCGGGGTTTTGCAGACTGTGATAGTGGAACTTGGCTTTTTCTTCTGGTATAAAATATTTCGTGGTCACATAGAGGATACTGCCGATATGTAGTCTCAAAAGTGTCGATTACGCCATGACCTGCCCGCCTGTAGCTAATGCGCAACGGAGCGGCCAGTGACCCCCCGCTTAACCCGGCACGGAGCGGTTCCGAAGGTGATTTAATAACTTCCAGATGTCGCTTGCCTGGGAAACTAAGAGGCACGATTTCGGTCAGTTTTCAGCGCAGTGCTGTCTGGCTTTCTCTCTTTTTGCCACAGCAGTCTGGATTTCTTCACTCCTAACAGGGTTTGAAACTTCTTCTGCATCCCCTTGGAAAGTGCTGAGATGCAGCTTTAAGAATAGTTTTAGTGACTTGTTTATTGAAAAGATCAGCGTTTTCGGTTTCTACTATGTTAGAGAGCAATTTGTCAGAGGTCTGTTCGTATTTTGCCCTGTTGGCTTTCTTAAAGTTCCATCGAGTCCTACGAGGGTGGTTCAGTGCTGGTGGAAAGATGATCTGTGAAAAGATAGGCCTGCGATCACTTCCTACGTCATCAATCAGTCCGATGTGACAGGAGTTCTTGATGTCAGATGAGCAGATGGTGAGATCAGGCCGGCTGAGAGAAAAGTGGGGTCTGTGAAGTAAGGTAGGAGTTGAGTTGACATCTTGTACCACTGAGAGGTTGCTGGTTTCACAAAGCTCTTTGATCTTACAACCTGTGCTGTTGTAGCTGGTGTAGCCCCATTCAGGGGAGTGGCCATTGAAGTCACCCGCACAAATAGTTTTTTTTCATAGTTGATTGTTTGCAGATCAGACAAGCTGCATGTTGTGTAAAGGGGGGGCTGTAAACATTGTCAAGTGTGAACTTTCTAGCAATGTTCCATATGTTGGCCTTCTGGATATCTGTCAGTTGGGTTGATGATAAGTGTACGACCTCTCCCTGAATATAGTTTCGCAGGTGAATGACTATAGATCTATCACGGCATCCTGTGCACGTACAAAGCATAACTGGTGTATCCTGTAAGGCTCAGGGGTGTATCTTTGTGTAGGGTTTCTTGAAAGAGGGCAACATGAATCTGTCTGTCCTTCAGTATTTTGAGGAGTTCTTTTTTCTTGTAATGATGTTTAGTTGCAAGACCTTGTTTAACGAGGCGACGTCCGAGCTCGCATGACATTTTGTTCTTTGTCAGCACTGGGGTGTCTGTGGACTGCCTGCTCACCCTGAGGAGAGGCCATGCAAGTTGAGGGGGGCACACGGGCATTTATGAGAATGACAGACATGCTTGCCTTGTGACTGTGTAGTTCCGGTAGGGTTCACGTTGCCCATTTCCCGCCACAGGGTGACTACTGGTAACAGTTGTCAACTCTTGCATGAGGTTTCGGCCAAGTGGGAAGGTCATTGGATCGTCACGTTCTGGGTCGTTGTGCCTTTACTGAGAGGTCCACAGAAGAGGTCAAATCAGGCATTCTGCTCGATCCATCCTTGCACCCAGACATTCTCAAACTGGCTGGTTCCTTCTCAGCTACAGCGGGTGTGTTGATAGGAAATAGTAGAGGGCAGATTAGACACCCATTCAATGGAGTATGTTGGTTAGGGGCATAGCGTCTACCACACATCGGTGAGTTCTGCCTCTTGCTCTTTGTAGGGTCACACCTGCTCCCGTCCCATTGTTTTAACCCCTCTAGGAAACGACTGGGGTGTGGGGTGGTTTGTTGGTGCCAACAACTCGCAATTCGCCAGAGCCGTGTCAGTGAAAACAGGGACCATCACGGGAAGGTACAGTTAGCTGGATTGGGTGAAGCTTTTTGAGACGCTCAGGCATTTCTCCATATTTAAATGAGACCCATCCCCACTCCTTAATCCCCGGTGTACTTTATTGAATGGTACCATGTAGGTCAACCAAGTGTCAAATCCAAGTACACATGGACAAAGTAAAACAATTTTAATAGTTTTTTTTCAAAGTTCACAAAAGCGATGTCTATCATGTTCTAAACTGTCATTCTCTTTTAAATCTTTCTATTATTTTTTGTTTAATTATTTGTTTTATTTTCTATTCCCAGATTCAAGGACACCCTGACTCAACTTTCGTTTCAGTTTGAGATTTGAGCTAAGTTTGAATTTCCCGAATACCAAAACAATTTATGAAAGGCAATAAATAGAATATGTACGTCTCCTTCCTGGTCAACCTATTACTCGTGTCCATGGCAACGTCGGAGCGTCTACTTGTCATCCTCTTAGACGGCTTCCGGTGGGATTATGTTGACAAG